TTTTTCCTATTCCTGACACATATGAGATGAATGCTTTTCGCCACAAGAGAAAAAGACCTTATCCTGGTGAGGTCAGAGAGTTTTTATGTCTTGGTTTCAAGCTACTACCTACCTATAACATGATGAGGAAATGATAGCTTTTGAGGGGAGACCAATTTAAGTATCAGAGCTGCTTACAAAAATAACTTAAATCAGTTGGACAAAAGCATTCTAAAGTGAGACTTTGAGTCTTATTTTCTTGTAGGAAGTGTAATTTTAGAAAAGTAGCATATTTTCTAGGTTACATTTACCAACTCTGTTTTGTATTTATAGAATTTCTACCTCGCCAACTCTGTAGCCATATGACTGTGACTCTTGGTATGGCTGACAGGAGTTATAATGATTTTGATACTAATTTAACTCATTACTATCCCTTGTGTAATGTGTTAAACACATCTTAATGTTTGAATTTAGAAACCTCTCATGATTTACCCATTCTTTGGTCATACAAAATGAAATCTCTGATGTGGATAAAAATGATTGTTTACTTATGATCTGATAGGTTGTCTAACAATTAATCACGATTGGGTCTAGAACTCTGAATTTCTTCTCTGTTTAAAGTCGGAGACAGTTTTCCAGGTGCCATTAAGAAGGCCAAGTATCAATCGATTTGTTCCACTTATAAAACTGTTAGAAACAAATGATGAGATTTTCAACCCCCTAAATTTTGCCACAGATTGTTTCCAACACAAGGATATTTTCTCAAGCTCTCTGGGGATCCCAGTGATGGGCTCTGTTGTCTGCATGCCCAGAGTCCCTGTGTAGGCAATCATCTCTCTTCTACTAAACCATTATCCAAAATTGCTTCTTTCTGGTCACCAAAATGGGAATAAAAGCACTGAGATGAGGAGAAATGTGGGTCAAGACCTTAATCTGTGAGGTATGTCGAAGACATGACCATTACCTTTCCAAAACCCATCTCCACTTGGGTGCCACATGGAAAGATCTATGGTTATTTGATATAAAACCTACACATGTTATTATTATATCCTCAGAGGTCTGGAGAAACACTCAGCATCTGTGTCAACTACTTAAAAAGCCAAATGAGTTAAATAATAAATCACATGTTTCCGTTATGAAAATTAATCACGTTTAAAGGGGAAAAAACTGTTGGAAATAGGCAAACATATTTCAGTTTACTCCTAGAATTATTACATATCCTCATACATAAATTAGTTGGGCTTTTTCTCCTTTTCATAATAGCAGAACTTTAAGGCATAAATAATATGTTGCATCTTAGAAAGTACTCTTTTGATAACTATTATCCTTTAATAAAGTGTAGGGTATAGAAAAGGGAACACTTTATAAAAATTCATTGAAATAGTTTCCTATTCTTTTGTTCCTTTTGGCTTCACTGTTAAAACAATATCAGGGGAGAAACCTGAAGGGTCAGAAGAAAGGCAAAAACATTATTTCTAAAACTTAGGCTCAGACTTTTTGAAAAAGTTATGTGTTCTAACAAGTGTGGAGAAAGCAGAGGAGTGATTCCATGATAGTCTGCAAGTGTAGTACATGGAAAATTACTTACAAAGCTCTCTCCTCTCTTCTGGATGGTTTAGGAATGGGTCTGCCTAAAAGTGGGTAATGGCTTAGGTTTTCCAAGGACTGTCTAGGCAGGTTTAGTTTATAATAACATAAGCTGTTCTAGTCTCTTTCCTTTTGTGTCTGAAAAGGGCACACCACCTTAGAATATGGATTTGTATAGAGTTACATCAGGGAACGATTGCAGTGACTTAACTACCTGACTACCTGGCTGATTCTTCAAGTTGGTGTAGGTATTTGTAGTTTCCTTATTCTGTGCATTGTGTTTGGAGTAAAACCTTATTCTCCATGAACTATATATCTCAAGTGTAGTAACTATATGGGTTATTTCAGTGCCTCTTTTAAATTATCATTATTATTGCTAATAAGATAATCTTAACTAATGATTCAGACTGTTTTACATCTAAAATATAATCTGAAGCATTATTTTTATAAATCAAATTTTAGAAATAGGATATTACTATGTAATTTATAATAACATTATATGCCAATAGGTGTAATTACTTAAATATATATATATATATATTCAACAACATATATTATTTAATATTTATGTTAAGCCTGAGCTATGCATTTATCTCTAAATTGTAAAAGGTTCTTTTTCTCCTTTGGGGCAATTTAAAACATAAAAGACAAACTGGAGAAAAATACTAAAATATGATGTATTTGTCTTAGCACTATATATGTTAAAGACATTAAAGGTTTAAAAATGCTACTTAAAATTATAATATTTATTGGGACATGCAGGAATATGTACTAGCTCAGCATGTGTTTATTAGATAAAAAAGTAATGAGATTCTACGGGAAGCATAGCAAGCACAGCAGTACCATTGATAATGGTGCTAGCCCTTACGGATGCTGAAATACAATAACAGACTTCTAGGGAGAAACTAGCAGTTTTTGTTGGCTCAAAATTTGTTCATTATACTTAAGCGCCTGATTCATTTTAAATGCTCTAAATCAAATTAGAAAGTAACCTTTAGCAAAATGTATATCATTCACTTTATAAAAGTTCTATATGTATAAGAATCGCTTTACATGGTAATACTATTTTTTTCCCTTGTACTATTCTACAACTGCGACTATCTATGAAAACGAGCAACAGTATGAGTGGCACAGCCAGCCTCGTGAATATGAGCTGACTTTGTGCCAGCATGAGGTTCACACGGCCGTTAAAACCACTGCAGTTTTAATTGATACATTCGTCCTCATACATTCATCTTCACAGCAACCCGGTGAGGAGTATGATGGACGTTTGTCTCTTCTGCTTGCATAGCATCCCCACACCCTTCTTCTTGGGGAGAGTCCTGAGGTGAAATGGATGGCGGGTAGGGCTCCGCCTCCATCTTCCTAAATCAAAGGAGAGCAGCCACTGTCTTGCCCTAACTTGGCAGCTCAAGGGCTCCTGCGTGACTGAGGCTCAGCCACTGAGAGACCCCCTGAGAGTTTTCCCGAAAATGAGCCAATTAGAGTTCCTGAGAAGAGCTTGGGCTTCATTCCCACCGAGGCTCTACCCCTGGCTGTGGGACCAGGGGTGTTTCAGAGTCCAGGGCCAGCAGAGGCCATTTGGGTGTCCCAGCTGGACTGCTTTGTTTCTGCCCATTTCCCCCAAGGCTTTTCAGCCTCTTCCCTCAACTAGCCATCTCGTATCTTTCAGTACCTCCCTTTTATTTTACTTTAACTAGAGTAGGTTCTGGTTCTTTGCAACCCAAAACACTGGTGATTATAACAAGTGTTCAATTCATAACGAAATTGAGGTTTACTCAGGTTAAGTCACTTGCTTGAATCGTAGTTGTGTAGAAAAGCCAAGTCTAGAACTCATGCCTTCTGGTTAAGTGTTGTTTCTGTCTCAGCACAGTGTTCCCAGTTGTCTTCAGTGCTCTCTGCAGAAGGGCTGCCTCCTCCTCTGTGCCTTTTTGATTGCAGTGCTCAGTCCTATGTCCTTTTTTAAGGCTTATCTGCTTGATGTCCAGTGTGCTTGTGCTCCACACCAGAACTTTGAGCCTCTATAAGACAAGGGTTATATTATATTCATCATTTCATTTTCTCTCCAACATAACCAGAGTGCCTGGGTATATACTGCTGAATAAATATTTTAATGAATGAGTAAACAGATGCATGAAAAATTTATTCAATTAATTAACTAAAACTCCAATGTGAGTTTGAAGTTGATACAAGAATAACATTAAAACACACACACACCACTACATTCTTTACCAATCAAAATCTTAGACAATTTTAAATAAAGCAATTTCTTAAATATATAAAAATGTTCACTTAGTACGCATTTATTCTATGCCTACTATGTGCCAGACTTTTGTTACAGAGAGAAATAAGAAGTAGTCTCCTTCTTCAAGAAGTCTCTTAGATTAATGGGAGAAACAAATGATTTCATGGCTGCAATCATGAAGCTGTGGAAAATCTGAAGAATGATGAGAGCAGCATGCCCACTGCAGCAGCCACGGAAACCACTGAACTGGCCTGTAGATACAGCTCCGAGAAGGGTGCTGGGCACATCAAGGACAACAGCCAGAGCTCTCCTAAAGCTCGAGAAGAGCGCCGTGGGCTCTGCCTTATCAGAATGTTGTGAGATTTGCTAAAAAATAAAATATATCTATACCTTTATTCAGACTTATTTATTTATTTAACTTTTTAAAAAAATCCTCACTCAAGGAAAAGAAAGAAAGAGGAACATCAGTATGAGAGAGTAACATCGATCCCCTGCCTTCTGTGCATACCACAACCAGGGATGAGCCCTGGCTGGGAACTGAACCGGCAACCGTTTGGTGTGCAGGATGACACTCAGCTAACTGAGCCCCTCTGGCCGGCAGACATCACTATTTTTATTTTTTATTTTATTTTTTATTTTTTTTTAAATATATTTTATTGATTTTTTACAGAGAGGAAGGGAGAGAGATAGAGAGTTAGAAACATCGATGAGAGAGAAACATCGATCAGCTGCCTCCTGCACATCTCCTACTGGGGATATGCCCACAACCCAGGTACATGCCCTTGACCGGAATCGAACCTGGGACCTTTCAGTCCGCAGGCCGATGCTCTATCCACTGAGCCAACCTGGTTTCGGCGACATCACTATTTTTAAAAAGATTTTAATCAAGTCCTGTTATAAAAAATTTCTAAATAATTTTGAAATTATGCTGTACCATTTGAGACCAATAATAAGATTCTATTTTGGTTTGGCACAAAGGTGAGAATGAAGAGAGATCCATGTAAAGCACTAAAGCTTAATAGGAGCAACAAATAAAGATCAAAAAAAGATAAAAACTATATAGATGAGCGTGTATGTATAAAAAAACATACATGTGTATAAAATAGGATCCAAATGTATCATTCTTCACAAGTTATGTATATGGTAGAGAAAAATGTTTAACTCCATAATGTTTTGGTGCCCTTTGCAGACAATTACTACGGTACCCCCAAGCCTCCAGCAGAACCAGCACCATTACTATTAAATGTAACAGACCAGATACTTCCGGGAGCCACGGCAAGTGCTGAAGGAAAACGGAAGAGGAATAAATCAGTGAGCAACATGGAGAAAGCCAGTATAGAGCCTCCTGAGGAGGAAGAGGAGGAGAGGCCTGTGGTCAATGGAAATGGAGTAGTAGTAACACCAGGTTAGTCATTTACAGTTGCCATAGGTTCGTCTGCTTTTTCAGATGTCACTAAATATGTATGATATCTGTATGTTCAAATATATATGTATGTATATATCTGTATATATATATTCACCATATATATGTACAGATGTGTATTTACAGTTATCTTCAGGGAGAAATTATATGAAATGAAAAGGACATGATTCTTGTATCTGATTTGTTAGTTTTAATTTTGACATATCAAGCAATTCATAACTTCCTTTGTTTTTTGTTTCACTTTTACAATATTAATGGCAATATATTGAATAGTTTAAGCCTCTTAAAAGGTGTTATAAGTCACGAATATGATTGCATAAAGTTCTGAGGTCTTTGTTAATTACAGTAGATAAAAATCTATCCTTAGAAACCTTACTATACATGCAGATCTATAGATAAAGGTAGTGTCATGTGATTTAGTTAACAATTTCAATGAATACAGTCCTCAAAGTGACTGTAGCTATATAATGCCATATATTTATCTGCCCATCCTTATTACCCAATCTGACAATATAGAAGAATGCATTTTTATACATTGACATTTTGAAGGTACCTACCCTTGAATAAAGAAGACTTGTTATGTCTTTAATTTATGATCATATCACATATATAAAGAATATTAGATAGATATGAAGTATGTTTGTAAAAGGTATGGATTTGCTATTTTCTTATACTTATTACTAATAGAGTGCCAAATTTTTATTTGTAAAATATTTCTTTCATAATATTATTGATAATTAAATGTTAACAACAAAAAACTATGGCATTTTCTTAGTCTCTTAATTTGGAGTAAGTTTCCAAAGTTTTGTTTGATTTATTTAGTTTTAAAATATAATTTATTGATTTTAGAGAGGAAGGGAGAGAGTGAGAGAGAAATATCAGTGATGAGACGAACCATTGATCAGCTGCCTCCTGCATGCCCCTCACTGGGGATTGAGCCTGCAACCCAGGCATGTGCACTGACTGGAAATCGAACCGTGACCTCCTAGCTCATAGGCTGACACTCAACCACTGGGCCATGCCAGCCAGGCTATTTGCTTTTTTAAATAATGACATTCGGTGGGCATTGAAAACCTAAGGGCTAAGTTAAACCATTTGAAAAAATGTTAATACATTCACCTTGCATACATATTATTCTTAAGATATCTCCTACCACTACTTTGATGTCTGTATTTTCATTTATAATTTTACTGCTTTTATGGTATAGTGACATAGTATTTGAATTTTCATGCGCAATAATTTTTATCAAAGAAAAGTTTCATAAGCTTATTTTTTACCTTCCTTTGTTCATAGTACTTATAAAATGTTCATTGAACATAAGGAGACCAAAACCTAATTTGTGCCAATCAAAGTATAAAACCTTAAAAAGTGGTTTCATCTTCATTATTCAGAGAAGTATAACCTCGTTCATTAATATACTGATTAACAACTTAATCTCTTAGCCTAGTAGTCATTTACAAATGCTAAAGATTATTGGAAGTGCATACTATGATATATTCATTATTAACTGATCTAGTAATTTTCAAGAAATTACATACATTCTCTTTTTTTAAAATTCTGAAATACCTTTGTCAAAATACTTTTAATCATGTAATAGATTTAAATTAGGTTATAGTACACAGTTTTATAAGCTGATCTTTGATGAAAGAAACACAACTCAGTTGAGAAGAAGCAGTAATCACACAAAAAGGAAGTTGGGGGTTAAAGAGCCATTACAGAATTTCTTACTGGTTAACACCTAATAATTAAATAAAATATATTATCTTAGTTAGTCTTAAATCATTGGTTTTTGTTCATTTCTACTATGTATAAGGCAAATCAAATGAAATATTCTTCATCTACAGATTTCTAAACTAGGAATTTATTTAATTGGGAGGCATAGTGAATCTAGACTGCACCATTCCCTTCTATTCATACCTTAGACATGAGGAATGGGGTTTTCTTATGGCTAGGAACTCTTTAAGGGCCCCAAGAAAAATAAACTGGTCTAAACTCTTCTTGATCAGCCCTAGCTGCATGATTGTCTCTGAACCTCTGGGCCTGAAGATGGGAGAGAACTGTCTAGGACAACTCTGAGATTTCTGGATAATCAATAGATGCCACAGCATTGGCTCTGAGAGCCCGGATGAACAGGTGGCCTTTATATGTCTTTTTCTTTCCCGTTTTGGGAGCTGACACAGGTGTAAATTACGTAGCTCTTCACCCAGTATTCAAAGATGGAGGAAACAGACCCAAACCAGAATATTGGTCCATTGTCCCTTATTTGAAATCTATTGATAACTCCCATCTTTGAAATGTCTTTGTTTTTCTTTATGTTTATTCAGTGTCAATTTCAGGGTTTCCTTTATCCTTCCCTCAGATACGTTCACTCAACTCTGCACCTTTCGAGCCTTATCGCATATTTTTCCTAGACAGGGTCTCTGCCCTGCCTCTGTTTTATTCCCTTACACATTCACCAAGTACAGTGCATGTCAAACAATATTGAGAAAACTGTTGCTTACTGGTAAATCTTAGTTAACAGTGCCATATATCAACTAAGAGCCTATAATAGCAATTAATATCAGACATCAATTCAAGAGTATAAGTAGTGTAATGAATGAGGCACATTTGAAGATTGAGAAAAGCTTACTAAGGCAATTATATTTCATTATATATTTTCTAATAATGGTAATATAAAAATTAACATATGGATGCTTACTATGTCCCAAGAACTCCCTAACCTCATTGTACGTATAAGTTCATTTAATTCTCCTAACAGTTCTATTCGCTAGGTACAGTTTTACAGATTAGGACACTGAGGTGCACTATAGTTAAATAATTTGCTCAATAACTGTAATTTATATGTAGGGAATTTGAATCCAGAACCCATGTTCTTAGTTTCTATGCTATCCTGAAACTTATATCACGAAATAGAAGCACAAATATGTTTTCGAGCAATAGTAAACACATCTTTAAAAGTGGCATTATAAATTTCTAGCTACCAAATCATGTATAAGTGAACTTATTTCCCTCTGTAGATATTAAAAATTCCTAATTTTCATAATATATGTATGTATATAACCATCAAACCTACCAATATTTAACTCTTTATTTGGTTTACAAAAAAACCCACCTCTTTTCTTTATGTAAATAAAGGATTTAGAGGAGTCCTCAATTTACCTCTATTACACATTTTAGTCATTATTTCTCCTCTGAACTGTAGTTTATTGCTAGAACTACATATTTCTTTTTCTCTCGTAACATTTCTATGTAAAGTCAGTGACGACTTTTAAATATGTAATATCTTCATGAAGTTCTACTATGAACATTTTCAATGAAAACTCACATAAAGTATGTGAGTACTCATTTTATGCTAGCTTTCTCCTGTCAAAATTAACCAGACACATGGACTTAGCTCCTATCACCCAGAAAAGACATATAATGATCTTTCAGTATCTCAAATCAGAAATGTTTCTCTCTCTGATATATATGATCTCTAATCCCATAATCATAGTATTTACTTAATGAATGAGATGCTGAAATTTAGCTGAAGGTGCTTTACTAGGGTAATAGTTCATTTAGTGGCAAGCTTGGGATCTGGACCCCAAATACCTGAACCTATCCTGGGCTGTTAACCATGCTCAGGGCAGAGTGGCTCCTGGCCTCCGTAAGGTGAATCATGATTGTGCCGCTCAGTGTATTTCATCTACATTGTATTCCATTATATTCATCCTTCACTGGGTTCTTGGCAGTGGTGTTAGATCTGATGCTTGCGAGGATGATATATACTACAACCTCATAGAGAATCTGTCTGTAAGCTGGTGGTTAAAATTCATATGCCTAGAAAACCTTCTCTTGATATTAACCTCACCTATATTTAGACATCTTTATCTTGTTAGAGGTGACATCCAGCCCCATGGCTTCAAATAGATTTACCTGCAGCCTGCGCTTGTCTCTTATGATCCAGGGCCATATTTCTAACCACTACTCACTGAACTGCCCCACCTAAGCCTTTCTTCAACTTAAATGCAATATTCCACTTAAACTCAACAAGCAAACCAACTCACAAAATCCTTTACCTAATTCCTCTCATTCTTCTTTTTACCCAGATAGCTGAGAGTTATCTTAAAAAACAACAACAACAACAACAACCCGTTTGTATTGATTTCAGAGTGGAAGGGAGAGGGAGAGAGAGAGAGAGAGAAATGTCAATGATGAGAGAATCATTGATTGGCCACCTCCTGCATGCCCCACACTGGGGATCGAACCTGCAATTCAGGCATATGCCCTGCCTGGGAATCTAACGGTGACCTCCTTGATTCATAAGTTAACGCTCAACCACCGAGCCATGCCGGCTGGGTGCTGAGAGTTACCTTTGATTCTTCTTCCCCCCTGGCTTGATATATATTATTGAGTATGAAAGATCACTAGTTCTTTAGCTTTCTTCTCTTCCTTCCAAATTTCACTGCCCCATCCTGGTTCTTATCTCCTTTGTGCAGCACAGTCTCCTAATTGACCCACATCCCTCCAGGCTCCATTTCCATCAAATTACCTGTTATTCCTCGATCAAAGATTGTTGAACCTGCACTTGACCATGTAACTATCCTCAAACTTCTTTTTCTGCTGCTTCATGTTTTGGGACAGCCATTCAGGGCCTCCCGCATTTGACTACAACGTTTCTCTTAGTTTTCGTTCCTATCACTCCCAGCCCTCTTCTCTATGTTCCATTCCCATAAAATACCTTCACCTGCCTGATAGGGCCTTTATCTCCTCCTATTTGAACCTTGCTCTTTTTTTCAAACTCAATAAAAAAATTTTATATTCCCTATAAATCATTTGTTGACTCCCATCATGAAAAGTTGACACTGTTTATCTCTGAATTATTGCAGTACAGTTTATGCTTCACATTCATTTGGAAGGTACTGACTATCCTAATACTTGCAGTAACTTTTCATAATGTGTGTGTCTGGCATCTCCAGACATTCTGTAATCATTGTTAGGAC